CAAATGTACAACGTTTCGACAAGGTTTTGTTATCATCAGGTCGAAACTTGTACATTTGCTGTTATGTTAAACTTATATTACAGTTGCATAATGTTATCAGGCAAAAATCTGAAGAAACAGAAAAAAATTTAAATAAAGAAAGAGACATTGAGAAATCACTGGTGAATTAATAAATAGAAAATGAAATACAAAGTAAATTAGAACAACAAATTAAAATTGTTCTATGGGGATCTGTACTTTTTCTCTGAAATAGGTTTATTAACTGTGGTAAAATCATGGATAGTAAAGGAATACAACAGACAATAACAATTTTAATAAACAGGAGAGCATAAAGGGTTAAACTTTACAAATTTTTATCGAAAGTGTATTGTAACTATCACTGCTTGTTTCACCAGACAGGGTGAACATTGTCATTACAATGTTTCTTGGTAGCACAGTGGTTAGCATGTCAAAAGGTCCCAAGTTCTTCACTCGGGCTAGAAATTCTAGTATCATGACTCGTGATTGAATGTCTTAAAAACAGATGCATATACACATTTGACGGATGAGGTTCATTCTTATTAGACCATACACAGGGGATTCTATGATGAGTAGGTCCTACTTTCAATTTCGTAAATGAAATACTAAATGCAGGGTGTTTAATTCCTGAACTGAGCATGACTGGGTATTTAAGGATGATTAACTGATGCAAAAATAAAGCAAGCACCAGATAACTATACATTTTTTGTTTGTCTGTAGATAAAGAAAAAGCTATACAATGGGCAATTTGTACTGTGCCCATGACGGGTATATCAAAACCCGGTTTTTAGTGTCAGAAATCCGTAGACTTACCACTGTGCCGCTTGGAGACAAATAACTAAAGAAACAGACAATTGGCAAAGAAAAATCTAGTGGTTGGGTCAAAAAGGCACTTTTTTGCATTCTAGGGCTAACTCAATTGTCTTATAGTCATGATAAGGTCTGACTTGGTAGAATGTTTGAATTTGGTTGAGTGTAAAGCTTGGACCAATGAAAATCTGATTTAGAGCTGTTTTTGTTAATAATATAGACATACAATTGTTTGCACATGTTTTCGAGTGCTAACTTACGCAGTAGCTGATATACAGATCCATACAAAACTGCAAACTTTGTCTGCTTTTAATGCAGTTCACTGTCACCTATAAAAGTGTTAACACTGAACACTCAGCTCAATAAATACAGAACTGAAACTTTGATTAAATACACTACTTTTTCAGTTTCATAAACTGTTAGAGTTTATAATTTGTTTCTTGTTATATGGTGGACTCGTATTTGTAGTCAGTTTATGGTCATAACTCATCCAAATATTAACCACAATATTTGTCTATACTTTCAATGAAGGAAATAAATGGAATTATAACTTTTTAAATTATGTGCATAGTTTTAATATATAATGTACAGACACCTGTTAAGTTGAAAAGACACTGTATTGCCTTCTTTATTGAAAGAGATCCACTCTTTGTGAATAAACTTGTTAAAAGCATATCTTAAACTATGAAAAACAACTAGTTTTATGTTGTTGATGTTTTACTTTTTTACTTTAGTGGAATGTTCTGATTAAAATGCTACAACTGTGTGTGTGTGTGTGTACATTTGTCACAGCAAATATACTGTAATCTGTTCACATACACAGGTTAGTCATTTAAATCTCATATGAAGTTCACAAACCTTGATAGAGCTTTCTCGGACGAATTATGGCATATTATTCCCTATTTTTCTAATTAAGTAATTGTTATTTTTCTTTAATTCCCATCATATGTACATTCGCAGTTTTGATGACTCAGTAAATTGTCTTCTGCCCAATAATTCAGAAATTTTATCTATGGATGATTTTTTTTTACTAACAAATATCATGCATTTTAAAATGAGCCATATCCTAGTAATTGATGTTTTGAGTTCAATGCACATTTCATGAGTCCAAAGACAAAACAGCTTTTCAAAAGACTTCATACTGACAGAATATCAAATTTAATGGTTAACATGTGGTAAAGAATACAGGTGTTTACAAAGCACAATGTTTTCTTCACACAATTATATATATATATTTATTTATAGATAGATAGATAGATAGATAGATACAGGAATCTAAATGAAACCGTATAGTACACTGTATAACAGAATAACAATTATACCTTTTTTTTGTAAGTTTAATTGATGATATTCAAAGTAGTATTATTAACAACAGTAGTAAAAGTAAATATATTCACTGTACATAAGGAAGTTAATATTAGAACTAAACACTCACCTGTAAAAACATATTCCAGCACCAATAACTCCAAAAATAGCAGCTGCACTACATCCTGCTACAATTGCTTGATACAAAAAACAGATGTTCAAAAACATGTCTCTTGTTTATCCAATTACATTTCACATTTATGTAATACAAATACAGATTAGTAAACAAATAAAACTCAAAGTATACACTTTATAGACGATACGATATTTATCAATCTCTTTAATATTTTGATAAACAAATGAATTTATTTTTAATTTCTGTTAAAAACAACTAAATTCTCAAATTATACACTTTATAGACGATACGATATTTATCAATCTCTTTAATATTGTGATAAACAAATGAATTTATTTTTAATTTCTGTTAAAAACAACTAAAACTCAAATTATACACTTTATAGACGATACGATATTTATCAATCTCTTTAATATTGTGATAAACAAATGAATTTATTTTTAATTTCTGTTAAAAACAACTAAATTCTTAGTAATTTTTTTCATTCTCATAGAAAATTAATTTTTAATAAACAAAACTGACCCCATGCTTATTAAAGCAAAAAAACATTTCTAGTTTACATGTATAAAGTGGTTGGTTAGTCAAGATCTGAAGTAAGATATTTTGTCTTGAAATGTCTTTTATTTGTCTTTCTGTATTGATGTTATTTAGTGAATACGAATTGCTTACATCTACAACTGAAACAAAACTAAAGTCAAAAGATTAAAACATTATGACAATACCACAACAGATATTTTGAATCACCTACATAAGCTGTACAAGACATTAACATAAAATGAAACTTAAAGGCTGAAGTACTTGTTAAAATATAAGGTTTCATTAACCCACAAGCTCGCCTAAAGAGCATTTCATCAGGTGGAATTACAGCACTAACTGGAAAAAATGTTAAAGAAATATCAATAATTGATGCCAAAAAATTACAAGATCATACATATACTGTTGCTATGGGATTCGTGAACAATATATATGTATGATCTAGTGATTTTCTCAGTCAACTGATGTCTACTTTCTCAACATTCTTCAATTAGTGTTTTAATTCCAACTAGTGAAGATGTTGAAAGCTTGTGAGTTAAGCAAACCTTGCAAGTTAATGTGATTATTCAGCCTGCAAGTTTCTTGTTATCTTAAATACATATTAAAATAATAAGTACCAGTCATGTTCAAAAAATAAAGAAAAATTCAACCAAGTCAATTAAGGTACTTACTAGAAGATATGAAAATGTAAACAAAAATATTAAAAAGTTTAACAAACTTTTTTTTTTTATGTAGTAGCTCACCTACAAAGTATATGTCACTAAGAGGAGACTTTGACTCTTTGTCTTTGAGATCGACTTCATTACGAGAAAATGAATGCAGCTTTATGGGTTCTTTGGACTCTGGCTGAATATTCAACTCATTTTTCTTAAGATGAGAAATTCCTGGAGAAGGGTGTGTTGACATTTTCTCAACATTGGATGTTGGTTGTATTTCATTTTTTTGAGATCCAAACATACCTAAAGTAAGGGAAAAAATTTCTTATTAAATTTTCTTCAAAAACAAAAAAAAGAAAAAATACATACTAGTTTTTACACCACAAATGCATTTCTTTTAATTTTTTTTTTTACAGTTCAAAATAAATATTAAAACATTTTTACTCCTCCTCCTAATAGTTAAAGTATTATTACTGAGAAATATAACACTTTTTTAAAATTGTTTAAATATTTTTTCCTGTCAATTACATAAATCAAAAGCTTGCTCAGTCTTCCAGCATTACAACAGATTGTGTATTTTATAACTGCATCAAAATGAAATAAGGCAAAAACAGCAGTAATTATTTTACATAGCACACACACACAAAAAAAAAGCTTTAAACATACATATTATTATATTTCTTTTTTGTTTGCAATACTTTTAGTATTTTATGTAGTACTTTAGCATATCGGTCAACTTTGCACTTTTATTGTCCCCAATGCAACTCTCAAACTATTTATTCAGAAATGAAAAATAAAATTTATGTCCAATATTTAAACCTCTACTCTGAAGATGAAATTAGTTGAAATAAGTAATGAATCAATAATACTGTGATAACCTTAACAACCATCCTAACAAGTTAAAAACAGTGATAATTTGAGGTTTGAATTTTGATAAATGAATATCATTCAGAACAATAAACCATGGGTGATTAAGAACAGATTTCCAGTGTTGATTAATGTAAACAAGGATTCTGTTTAATTTAAAACTGAATAAAGAATGCACATCTCTTACCTAACTTGCCAAGGTACTCTTCTTTTTTAACATCAGCAACTCTTTTTGGGGGATAAACTTTCACAGATATGTGACCAACAGGATGATTATTTTTAATTTTATCATGTTTGTCAATAGTATTCACATTAATACTAGCTTGATTTCTATCTAAAGACATCCAAGACTGAGCAGTACCATCATCATTTTTAAAATTCTTTAGCTTCATCTTTGGTCTACCAAAATACAAGTCTGCTAAAATCCTTTCTTGAAGATGTGGACTTTGAATCTTATCTGAATATTGGCTATGATGGTTTCCAGAAAAATCATTTTGATAAAGTTGTGATGCTAATTCTGGATAGTTTGATATTTGGTGGTTGGTGATTGCACCTTGAACATTAGAAACCCGTCTCTGATATGGAAAGTAACCTGAAAATTCAAGATTATAAAAGCTTTCATTTGTGAAATACACAAGTAAGGAGTGCAGTTACAATAACTCGTTAGTTTTAAGCTACAACATGTACAAATTATGGGGGTCAATACACATCGAAATAATAAGTTTCATGTCTTCTTAATTATTTTAAATCTTGCAAATTATACAAACTATTGGTTAAAGAACAATAACCTTTCTAATTCATTATTTTAATGTAAGATTAAGTAGCTTGTAAAGTACAACATATATAAAAACCTCATGAAAACATCTGTATTTTCAAAACAACTATTCACACCCATTTATTTTCTATTAACTTTAATATTTTCCTAAGGTCCTAATAACATAATTAAGATATATAAGAATCATTATTAATATTATATCAGGAAAAAAGGAAACAACAAACTTACAAATAAACAATACACTATTACTATTAGGTATAACAGTATTATGTTAGGTATATATTTAAGTTAAAATAATCACCATTAAAACTATTGTTGGCTTGTTTAAAAAATACTAAACAGTAAACTTCTGTTACTAATATAAAATGGTATAAATTGTTACCTTTTTTTACTTATCTGTTTTTATACGATAGAGGTAAAACTATCATTTTATTTTTACAAAAGTTTCCGATCCATCTTTCGTGTTGGTCAACATCGACCTAGGCCTACACACAATTTAAAAACAGAAGTTAGGTTTATAAAGTGTGACACTAGAATAACGTCGTTTTCGATTAATTGGGCCTAATTTTTTAATAAAATAATTTATGGTAGAAAAGAAAATTAACGTTTGACTTCAATGGCATTAGAGCTAAAACAGATTTTCATTCACAATGTATACGTCACCCAAACATATGGTACCTGAATTTCGGACAAAATTTCCAAGTGCTGGTCTATAGAATAGTCCCAGCATTAGCAATGGGACTGCGAATCGGGCGAATAATAAAACCCGCCCGGCCAGGCTCATGGCTAAACACGGTCCCTTCCGCCGGGCGGTTAAGACAGGTCTGGACCTGGTCACTTTTAGAAATTTGGTCTTGAAAATGTTACTCCTTTCCAACCGTTGAAATGTCACCCTAAATTTTGATAGAGCAGTTCCGTTGTCGAATTAGCTGCAACCACACGAGTTGATACTCTTAGTCAAATCGTTCAAGGCTTATCTTGCCATGCGCGTCAGTTACGTCAGTAACTGTTTCCTAGGAAACTGTATCATTTAATACTTCACTTTGCAACAAGCGATAAGTTGATAGTGTGACATTTAACTAACATAGTAAAAAATCTACTGATTACTTGATATTTTTAGCGCATTTGAAGATCACTCCTATAAAGTAAACAAATAAGTATTTGTTTAATCTGTGTTGTTTAAACTAAGTCGGGTAGAACCTACGGGAGTGCGGAGCATAACATTTTATACATTTATTAACAATAGGTTATACTTTTTTACACTTCCCACAAAATTTCTACCTGTCCTTAGTTCGCTTTTCCCAGCTTCTACAAAGTTGGCTGAACCCCACTGAGCCAACATGATAGCATGGCGCTCTCTCATGGGGGTAGGAGGGGGGAAGTTTTCTTCCTCTCCCCAAAATAACAACATTCTAATTCGACATAAATCTTGAAAATATACTAAGAAGCTAGAAATACAAATAATAAAACTTACAATTATCATTACAAAAAAAATATGCTTAAAATATGTTATCCTTTATTCATATTCTACGAATTATTTTATTAATTAACATTATTACATTCATCTCGTACATTCTGGAGAAAGATTCTAGCTTTAAAGATATATGAAAAGAATAAAATGAGACAGAGAGCAGTTGTGATTCGAAAACGTATCAAGAGAACGAGATTCAACGCCGTAATAGTAGAAATTTCAAGAGATTTAGGTGGAAAACTATTGCATTTGGACTTGTATATGTATATCTCTGGTGAATCTATAAAGAATAAATATTGTTTAATTCACCTGATATTTGTATTGTAATTTTTATCCGCGGCATAGCGGCTCATAGAATGGCTCTGAGTTTTTTTCAAGTACAAACGTTAACCTCATAGCTCCATCTCGTGAACGATTTGAGATATCATTACAGCCGCAACTATTGAGGATTCCCTCTTATTTTAATATGGTAAGCTTCTTTGTCCAGAGCAGAGGCGTTGGAACCGGGGGTGCTGTGGCACCCAACTTTTACACATTTGACTTACATAGCAACTGTAGATTATAGTATTATATTAATTTTTTGCTTGGAGCATGCCCCAAGACGCTCCTAGATTGAGCTACCTTTGGCAGCACGGGAGCTGCTTTTACCATCTCCTTATCCTTTCAATTTTTCATTGTAAATTATGCATATCTAGGCTCCACATTGCAACTCCTTCCTACACCACTGGTCTAGAAAATAATTAGTATCTACTATTAATAATAATAATTAATAACTACCATTAATAATAATAATAATTAATAACTACCATTATTAATAATAATTAGTATCTACTATTAATAATAATAATTAATAACTACCATTATTAATAATAATTAATATCTGCTATTAATAATAATAATTAATAACTACCATTAATAATAATAATAATTAATAACTACCATTATTAATAATAATAATTAATATCTAATGTTAGTAATGATAATAATTAATATCTAATGTTAATAATGATAATAATTAATATATAATGTTAATAATGATAATAATTAATATATAATGTTAATAATGATAATAATTAATATCTACTATTAATGAGCGGCGTGTAAAGTAAGATGTGGGAAGGTAGCATTTAAATATATATATAAATTCCGTAATTTTAGTTTTACTACTTGCTACCCCCCTCATCTCTACACACGGACATCCTTGAATGATGATGATGCTACTCTGGTAAGTTTCTTTTAGTATCTAACCACCCTTGGCAACTTTCAAGTGAATGTTAAAGTTATGGCCTTTTGGTTACCATGGCCGAACTTTGAATTCAAGTGTTCATGGTTCGTGTCCAGTTGCTGCTAAGACGCGCTCCGCACTTTTGGATCGAGGGTGTACTATTATATTCACGATCATATCCCTCTTTCGATCAAACAAAAGCAGCCCAAGAAATGGTAGTAGATACTGTTGACAGTTGCCTTCCCTCTAGTCCAGGGATTCTCAAACTGTGGTACGCGTATCACTGGTGGTACATGGAACTAATGTCGGTGGTACACGACACAATTAATATAAATAAACTTAAAATTTGTAATAAGCCCCATCTGAGCTTTCCACGTACATATACATACTGCTCTCCTCAGTTATAGACTCACCTCTACCTGCATAAACTCTCCAGTATTTTCTTTCCTTAAAATTTACAAAAATGTTACCACATGTTCTTCAATCGCGCCAGAAAAAACAATCGCATCTTTTGCATTAATGGGTAAGTGTTAAATATATGAATTTTTGTCACTAGGATTTTTATCTTTTTTTTTAATAGGCCTGGGTTTGTAATTTTAAAAGAAAATAAACAAAAAGTGGCACGCGATCCTGAAACGTTTAAGAAACACTGCTCTATTCTATCCATTCACAACTGGGGAGAGCTACATGCAAATAGCTTTTGTGTGGCTTTCCGAGAATTTCTGAAATAAATGAATAAAATGTATATATACATAGATATATATATAACGTTTCTAGTTTAATACACAAATAACCAGAAATGTGTCCTGCATTTAGGGACAGTAAAGAAAACGGCACCTTTCCTCCCTTACACTTCGAATGCAACTTTTTATTGAAGAATCTTAATCTGTTTACATGTACCCTTCGGTACAATCCTGAAAGTTTGAGGATTTATGACGCTAAATATTTGGTTTCTGGGCAGAGAACAGATAACCTATTGTGTTGCTTTTTGCTTGACAATAAACAGCGTTTACGTATAAAATCTGGACCTTTAATGTCTTTTATATATAAGCTTAATTTCCGATCTTTTATTGATCCATCGTATATGAACATATAGTTTTTAATTTTTCTTTCTGTGCTTTACACTTTTATATTGATCAAGTGAAATACTTATGCATTCTTATATTTTGGAAATATTTGTAGAAATGTTTTCCAACGAATTTATTTTTAACAGCGTCTTCCGGTGGTACAGCGGTGTATCTGTGGACTTACAACGCTAGAAACCGGGTTTCGATACCCGCGGTGGGCAGAGTATAGATAGTCCATTGTGTATCTTTGTGTTTAACTACAACCAAACAATTTTTAAAAGTGTTATCAATTAAATAAATACGTCGTTTTTTTGTGTGTTTTTTCAGCCGTCAGGATGTAAAATAACAATTATTTTAAACTGGTAGATAGCGTTGTTTTACAAATTCATATAACCTTCGGATGTGATAAGATTAAAGCTCCTAGATGTTGAGTAAGAAGAAGTTAGCGAAAGCTTATATTTTTTCTGTATGTGCTCAATATAGCGTTGTTGAGCTGTAGGTTGGTAATTTGGTTCTCACATATTTCAGAAATTCTCTTAGAAAGCTTCTCGGTGGTATTTGCAGCTCCATTGGTTTGACGTATTTCCATTAATAAGGCCCAAGAATTCATGATTAGGGAACACAACATTAGAGAAGTACTTCATAAACGAAATGCATCGTTCAGTAAAGATCATAAAAAGTCGGATTAAAATATTGCTTCATCAGTTTATTCGATTCCTGGTGATCAGCAAGATTCATCTAGTGGAGTGGTTTTTCAAACTGTGTTCCATGGAACCACAGGGTTCTGCGAATGGTTCACCACAACGATAACAGACAATGGCGGTTTTTCTCAATTATTAAGCGTTAACCCGTTAGGGACCAAACATATATTTTAAAATGGTGAGCGAGTTTGTAAAATTATAAACGGACTTTTGTTGCAAGCTTTCGGTCCTCTTATCTGCACCATTGTTTCCCGTCGAGGGTTTGTTTGTTTTGAATTTCGCGCAAACCTACACGAGGGCTATCTGTGCTAGCCGTCCCTAATTTAGCAGTGTAAGACTAGAGGGAAGGCAGCTAGTCATCACCACCCACCGGCAACTCTTGGGATACTCTTTTACCAACGAATAGTGGGATTGACAATCACATTATAACGCCCCCACGGCTGAAAGGGCGAGCATGTTTGTTGTGACGGGGATTTAAAACCGCGACCCTCAGATTGCGAGTCGAGCGCCATAACCATCTGGCCATGCCGGGCCCTCGACGAGGGCAGAAAGCTGGCAATAAAAATATTTTAACGTAGAGAAAAGTCCATTTATAATTTTACATATTAATTTACCTACGTTATGAGTCTTAAACAACATGATAAGTGAGTTGATATTACGTTTTCTCAAAATAATTACATACACAAGCACACAAAATAAGGAATATTCGTATGTACATAAACTGTACGAGTGCATTAAGGGTTGGATTCCGTGACTAAAGGAATGAAATGAAAATTTAAAACCGTTAGACTCTAGTAGTAGAAAGGATTATGTTTACGAAGCCTAATTTATGACGCAATTTCTCTTATTTTTAAGGTGTTCTTGGTAAAGTATCTAATCATTATGAGGTTATTTAATAAGTTTAGATTATAGAGAGTAGAAATAACCCCTGGGGCTCAGCGATAAATCTGCACGCTTACCTTACGACGCAAAAATTCGGTTTGGTTTGTTTTGAATTTCGCGCAAAGTTACACGAGGGCTATCTGCGCTAGACGTCCCTAATTTAGCAGTGAAATACTAGAGGGAAAGCAGCTAGTCATCACCACACACCGCCAACTCTTGGGTTATTCTTTTACCAACGAATAGTGGGATTGACCGTCACATTATAACGCCCCCACGGCTGAAAGGGCGAGCACGTTTGGTGGAAGTCGATTGCGAGTCGAGCGTCCTAATCACATGGCCATGCCGAACCAGGATTCTTGGATGATTTTAAACAAACGTAATTTGTTCTCACTTGGCTTAAAAAAAAGGGTTATGAACCTTTTAAAAAGGACAAGGAAGAGGTTAACAGACTAGTTTTATTGTTTGTGGAACATCATTAACTTAATGCAATTCATAAACAAATAAGTTTATTTACTTTGTACAAGAGAATATCTAGATTCTAGAGAGATACGATTTACGTTTTAAATTTCGTCCGTGTTCGATCAAACTAGCAATTTTAATATGTCTAGTAAACCGCGCAACTCTCAA